AATGCAAATTAAAACAATATTGAGATACAGTCTCACCCCAGAAAGAATGACTATCATAATGAAATCAACTAATAACAACTGCTGGAAATGCTGTGGGGAAAAAGGAAACCTTCCCCACTGCTGGTGGGAGTGTAGACTGGTGTAACCACTCTGGAAATCAGCATGGAAACTCCTCAAGAAATCAGGACTGGAAATCCCATTCAATCCAGTTATTCCCCTTCTGAGTATTTTTCCAAAAGAAATGAAAACACCAAACCATAGTAAAATATATATGCATCCATTTTGATAGCAGCACAATTTGTAATAGCTAAATCTTGGAAACAACAAAATGCCCATCACTTGAGAAATAGTTGAAAAAGATGTGGTATTTTTATACAATGGAGTACTACTTAGTTATAAAGAAAGATGAACTTGAAGCCTTTTTCAGTAAGTGGATGCAGGTGGGAGAGCTTCCGGCTACCCTGGCCGGTGGGACCTAATTGTCCCAGCCCAGGCGCAGTGTGGGTGAGACCCTCTCCCACCCCCTTGGAATGCCCTGCACCACTCCGCAGCACCTCCCCACCCCACCCGCCGAGTAGGAATTTCTGCCTTGTTCCGGGAACCCCAGACCCAGTCCTAGCTGAGGTCCGGTGAGTGTGTGGGAGAGCTTCCTGCTACCCTGCGCCTGCGGGACCTACTGGTCCCAGCCTAGGCAAAGAGTGGGTGAGATCCTCTTCCACACCCTTGGGATGCCCCCCACCACTCCACAGAACCTCCCCCACCCCACCTGCCAAGTAGGAATTTTCTGCCGTGTTCTGGGAACCCCCAGATCCAGTCCTAGCCCAGGCCAGTGAGCGTGTAGGAGAGCTGCCTCTCCCCACTACTCCACCTTGTCCCCTCCAGACTCAGCTCAGGCCTGGCATACAGGCCTGGGTGAAGCCCTGCAACTGCAATCCCTGCAGAGAGTGTAGGGGACAGAACCACCTAGCTAGTCCAGGAGCAGAACATCTTGCCAGAGGGGCATGACAGGTTCACCCCCAAGGGCAGCAAGAAGAAAGAGCAGAGCACAGCAGCCAGACCCAAGCCAGGTACAGCTGGATAAATCCAAACTTTGTAGATCTGCACCTGAACTTCAGTAGGTGCTAAGGTTATAACTGCAACAAAGATCTACAACAAAGGTCAGAAGACAGTGCTACACAAACTGACGAGAAAGAACAAAATGCAATCTCAGAACCCAAACCCACCCATAACAAGTGCAGAGGACACTAACACAGAACAAATTGGGCATCACACAGCTGAAAGCAATGAATCAATGGCTTCCATTTTCTATCTGTGTATTCAAAGTGGTTAGGATAGATATGTAGTTACATTCTCTTAATGAATAGAGTGATTTGTTTTAATGGTGTTTGTAAATAAGATATCATGTCCACATTTTGTACAGCAATTAACCACTAGGAAGAATGTATGCAGTGTGTTAATTATTAAAACTGTCCTACCAATTTGGTTTGAAAAAAATAAATTATTTACTTATTAATTTGGTATAGGGTCTTATTATGCAGCTTGTTCTCATAGTGATCTTCCTGTCTCAGCCTCCCCACCACTGGGATTACAGACATGCACCACCATGCCTGGTTTAGGTGGGTGGCATAGGGTGCATGGTGTTCTGGGCCAGCATAGAGTAGCAGGGATAGAACCAAGGTCCTTGCATTTGCCAGGCAGGTGCTTAGACCTCGAAACTATCTCCCCAGACTCTCCATAATATGTTCAACAATCTCAGAAAAGATTTAAGTAGATAAAGGATTTTACTAATAAAATGCCTGATAATATTAAAAAAGAAATAAATGTGTACTGTTTCTAATGTCTTATCAATTATTGTACTCTCTTTAAAATAAATTTTTTACAATGAAAAGGAAAAAATTAAGATTTCTTGAAAGCAAGTATTAATATTCAATTATTTATCCAATATTTTATAATTATATGTTAATCTGAGCAACAGATTCTATATTAAAAATAGATAAAATAGCAACCATTGTTAATTAGTTAATCCTGTGCAGAAAATCTTTTACATATGTATTATTGTTTGTAACCCTGTTTCTGTCATTTTTCTATTTGTTTTTGCTTCTGTTTTTGCTCTTCAAAATAACATCAAAGTAACTTTAAAAAAAAGATTTAATTATAATTTTAAAGTTGCTTCCTGGCCCAGTAATATAGTCATAATGACATTTGTTTAACGTGTATAAAAAGGCCAAGATAAAAAACTTTCTTTTCAATTTAGAAAACTCTACCTATATTGGCCATTTAGAAGTTAAAGTGATTTGTAACGTAACAGCAGTACTAGAGAATGTGTGGCCAGTTCTAGTAACATTAGTAGCAATGTTAGTAAAGAAATTGTATGATTATAAACGAGAGAATTGTATCCCAGTGTGGGAGTTAATTGTAATTACTGTACTTAGTTTATATGTTAAGCTACAGCTATCCTTCCTCCTTAAATTTAATAAAAACTTAGTTAACTAAGTAACAAAATGTTCTAGGGCACTTTCCAACTTGAGTAATTAACTGAACAGTTATTTGGTTCAAAGTTAGTTTCCTACTTAAAAGCAGAATTTCTTCAATGGTTAACAAGGAATAGAATTATTTTTACTGGATGTATCATTTGTCATTACTTTTGTGGATATTCCATCACATGACAGGACCCAGGAGCTTTGTTCTTGACCATCTCTCTCCCTCTGGCCTCTGTCTGCTGCCTCCCTTGCTTTGATTCTCCAGCTCAAAGGGTGGTTACTCAGCATTTGTGTTATGAGAATTGTTCTCTTAAGAAAAGGGAAAAGGAGGGCGTTGATGTGTGTCAGATGGTGTGTAGGGTGGATGTAGGAGACAGACAAGCTTAGCCTGAAGCAAAGCTGGGTGTAACATGGCTGTATTTTTGGTTGTCTTCTTTTTGTTTCTTCCCTATCCCCTACTACTATCTCTCTGCATTTCATTCCAGAAGGGCTTTGGCATTAAGTGTTACCAACTTTTCTATGCCTATTGCTATGTGGACCTGTTTCGAAGATCCCCTAGATTTACCTGTGTGCACAGTGAAGAGGGCAATATATTTATCTTTCCTGAGGTGCAAGCACCAGCAGTGATGAATAAGCACAAGCAGGTCCTTCTGGAAATTGTTGTCGAGAAAGTCATAAAAGAGAGGGCTTATACATGTAGAAACCATAGCAACCAAGTGGAAAACTAGGAGTACCAGGTTGTGGTGGCAGCTCAACAGCACCTCATGTTTCCAGCCAAAGGCAACATTGAAGATGTTCAAGCATCCAGCAGGCTCCAAAGGTCACCATAATGGGAATCAGTGTTGTTTTGGTCCTCTTGTTCTCACTGAGCTGGCTTTCATTTCTCTGCTTCCAGGCTACCTTCTAATTTCTCTTATGAAGACAGATAACACTTCGCAGATAAAGATCAATCCCAGAGTGTCAAAATACAGGAGCATAAACAAGGAGGTAGAAGAGAGGAGCTGGTTTATTCTGGTCAGTCAGCTCTCTACACAGGCCCCCTGATGGGAGTAGATGTCAGCAGGGAGAGAGAGGTTGCAAAAGAGCTCATCAGTGAGGCAATGAGTCAGGAACAAGGGAAGAGAGAACAGGAGGGAAAAGTGCCAAATCAATGTGATGACCCAGTAGGCATGAGATACACTGGACTTCCGGAGCAATTGATACAAGGGAGAGTATGGACATAGGAAGTGAGTTTGCATATAGTGTCTGGAAATATCCAGTACCCCTTCAGTATAGATGACCACGAAACAAATGCACATGATGCATAGTAGGATGTCAGAGAGGGAGAGACTGGTGATCAGTATGTTGGTGACATTCTGAACTTCTCTTTGCTTCTTAAAGATAATGATGACAAGAGGGATTTCTACAAAAGCCCATGATTCAGATCATAGAATAGGCTATGAATAGCAAGAGTAAGGTTAGAAAAGGCAGTTGACAGGATTTGAGGTGGAAAAATGCAGTTGTTTTTCTTTGCATTGGTTTTATTACATGCTGGCTGATTTTAAGAAACTTCCATTATGTCAGGATTGTAAGAAAAGACTTTATAAGCTTGTTTGTAATATGAGCAGATAATTTTTGCATCAATTATTAGGAAGGGGCCAGCCTGATAGCTCAGTGGACTAAAGTGCCTGCTTAGGCAGAGTGCAGTGGCCAGGATTCAATCCCTGGAGTGCCATGCCGGCTCCGCCTGCGGGGTGCACTGAGATGGCGATTGAGACTGGGCATGGTGGCGTGTGTTTGTAATTCCAGCTTGTGGGAGGCTAAACACAGGAGAATCACTAAGAGTCCAATCTGTGTAGTGAGACCCTGCAGACCCTGTCCTAAATACAGAAAAATAAATAAATGAATTCTTAAGCACCTTGCTCTGAGATTTTCAATGAGTGATTAGTAGGGTATAGTCTTCTCCAATCTTTGTGTTTAATGAAAGCATGAATGATTTGGGTATGTTCTTGAGAACCTAAAAATTAAAGAGAACTCAGAATATTAATAGCACTTCTTAACAATATGGATAATTCTGTACGTGGAACAATGTCTCTGGGAAGACAGACAAGTTTACAGGCTATCTGTACCCAAATCTCAGGGTGGTTTATTAGTATCATCAGTATAGTCCTTAGAGCTAGAGAGACGGAATGTGATGGTATCTTGTCAGCCTATAGCTGCCTAAAAGGCAGCTCAAACTTCTGTGCTTTTTTTATTTGTTGACTTATTTAGATTTATCTGATTATGTTGCTGCTTGATCTATACATAGACTATAAAAGTTGTAAGGGTAGGATTTTTTTTTTTTTTTTTAAACTGGGAATTGAATTTCAGGCCTTGTACTTAGGGTAGGGATTATGGTGTACAGAATTGGGTTCCACTGAGTTTGATTTTTGTAATCTCTTCAAAATTCATATCCCAGGCCCGCCTGCCCGCGCGGGGCCGCCCCTGGCCACCGGCCCGGCCGAGTCCCCTCGCCGCCCCTGCCCCAGGCCGCCGGGTCCCCAGGCCGAGTCCCCGAAGCGGGCTGCCCGGAGCCACCGGGTCGCACCGCCCGCGCGGGAGAGCCGTCCTGCGGCCTGGGAGCCATGCTCTGCGGGCGGTAATGTCCGCGGAACAAGAGAAGGAGCCCACGGGGCTGAAGAGAGCCCGAGGTGGTGATAGTGGACTGGATGGGTTAGGAGGACCAGGCATACAACTAGGAAGCCCCAATAAGAAAAAACGAAAGGCAAGTACACAGGGACCCTCTCTGCTCCCGCTGTCCGGGTATGCTCCACCACCAAACCCGAACTCTGACCACCTAGTGGCTGCTAACCCATTCGACGACAAATATAACACCATTTCCTATAAGCCACTGCCTTCCTCCAACCCTTATCTTGGTCCCCGGTATCCCGGCTTTGGGGGGTACAGCACATTCAGAATGCCACCTCACGTCCCCCCACCCCCCAGAATGTCCTCCCCATACTGTGGCCCTTACTCACTCAGGAATCAGCCACACCCATTTCCTCAGAATCCCCCGGGGCTGGGTTTTAATCGACCTCATGCTTCTAACTTTGGGCCACATGATAATTCAAATTTTGGAAATTCAGCTTATAGTAATGTACTAAATCAGAATGTTAATATGCCTAATCAACATTTTAGACAAAAATCCTACTGAAAACTTTGGTCAGATGCCCCCACAGAATGCTAGCCAAATATCTAACCCTGACTTGGCACCTAATTTTGTTCTTGGAAACAATTCAAATTTTGCCTCTCCACTAGAACCGAATCATTCTTTTATTCCACCCCCAAACACGTTTGGTCACACAAAAGCCCCTCCTCCAAAACAAGACTTCAGCCAAGGAACAACCAAAACCACCAATCAAAATGCATCTGCACATCCACCTCGCTTAAATTTGGATGACACAGTGAACCAGAGCAATATGGAATTAAAAAGCGTGAATCGAAACAATGCAGCGAAGCAAGAGAACAGCCGCTTGAGCAGCGCTGAAACCACAACCAACAGCCACGCGAACGGCACACAGACCAAGCTGCAGCCGCCTTGCGCTGCGGCCGACACGGTGCGCCCGAGCAGGGCAGCAAGCCCCCGGGGCCGTCGACCCCGTGTACCCGTGCGGCACCTGCACCAGCGAGGTGAACGACGACCAGGACGCCATCCTGTGCGAGGCCTTGTGCCAGAAGTGGTTCCACCGCGTGTGCACGGGCATGACGGAGACGGCCGACCAGCTGCTGACTGCCGAGGCGTCCGCTGTGTGCATCTGCGACGCCTGCATGGCCTACAGGGACGTGCGGCTGATGCGCCAGCGGGAGCCGCCTGGCCTGGCCGCCTTGGGCAGCGATGCGTGAGCCACGCAGGCTTGGCGTGGGATGTTAGTGTCTTACCTTGTTTTTTAAAACAATACAAGAACAGTATTTATCGTTTAGTTTTTTTTTTTCTTTATTAATTGTACTTTTAGAGCACAATTTTTTTTCTTTTTTTTTTTTTTCTTTTCAAAGTTTTATTGATAAACATATAGCAATGAAACAGTTTCAAATCAAATCGAAAGTACTGTTTAGTTTTTTAATATTCTGCTTCATTACTAGTCCAGGTTTTGTATTGTCTTTGTCAGCTATTGTAAGAATAATGTATGTGGATGCGCTTTAGAAACATTTATACATAAATGTTAGTAGTTATTTATCTTTTTTTTCTTTTCAAAGTTTTATTGATAAACATATAGCAATGAGACAGTTTCAAATCAAGTCGAAAGTACAATTTCAACAAATAATACACTGCATATATTCTTCTTAGTGGTTAATTGCTGTACAAGATGCAGACTTGTGATCCTACTTACAAACATTAGAACAAATCATTCTATTCATTAAGAGAATGCAACTATATATCTATCCCAACCACTTTGAATACACAGATACAAAATGGACATTCATCTGTATACCCTTTTTTTGTTAAGTTCTGTTATTTGAATATTATAGGTGTGTAAACTCAGTAAAATATTCTAAAAGAGTCCAGTAGCCCATAATAGCATTGGGTCTTCTGTTTAACTGGCAATGTCAGAAATTATTGACCTGAGTCCCCCACAGCTCAACATAATAACATGGCTTTACTTCCTATATTTCATCTTCATACTTTTCTACTGGATGGTTAAGACCAAGATAAAGCAGGACCTGTGCAACAAGAGTTGTAGCTTAGTAGTTATTTATCTTAAAAGCCTCTTAAAACTTCAAAATAATATATAACAATTACAGGTCAGTGTTAACTTTGAAAAGTTAGAGTCGGCTTTGGCCTTAGCACATTATAGGTTTAGTTCAGAAAGTCTTTCTAAGATGCATTTAACACGTTTTCCAAACATAACATATGTGTCTGTAACACAGGGGGCAGCGTGTGTATCTGTGGATTTTTAAAAAATAATAGTGTACTCTCCACTAGGGTCTTTAAAATTAGTACCTTTCCTACTTTCAGGTTAGTCTTCGCAGAGTATCTATATATGAGACAAATATGAGGCAGAGACAGATCATAGCATAGAGTAGATTTTCAGTAAGTACTTGTTATTAGTTTATGGATTGTACCACATGAAATTGCTAAATTAGATCAGTTGAAAATTGTCTGCAATAAGTAAAGTTGACATAAAGCATGAAAAAAGAAATTCATATCCCAGTACAGCAGTACTGAGAGATGGAACCTGTAGGAAGTGATTAGGACATATGAGTTTTACCCTTATCAATGGATTAATGCCATATAAAAGGAAGGGAGAGGATAAGTTTATTCTTCTGGTTCCTTTAGTTATGTAAGGACACAGTGTTGACTTCCTCCAGAGAATGCAATGACGATCCACCATGTTAGCACACAGCACAGTCCTCGGCAGCCTTGAATGTGTTGGCACCTTGCTCCAGCAAGTTCCTATCTCCCAGCTTTATGAGAAATAAATTAATTACCCAATCTGTGATTTTTTTTTTTTACTACAGCAACACAAAGGGAATAAGACTGGTTCCAATTAGAGAATCCCTACTTGATATCTGCATGACTCAGGCTCCTGTTTGTAAGATGGGGATAAATAATGTTTGTCTGAATTGTTGTGAGGGTTAAACGGATTGTGTAACTGAATTGTTCCCTCGCCCTAAACATAAAACACAGAATTAGGTGCTCAGTATGTGTATCTTAAATAAAATGTGTCAATTCCATGGCCCAAGGCCGCTAGCCTTTAGTCCAGACTGGGTTTACCATCACAGATCATAGTGGTTATGGGCTAGCATACACCCCTTTTTACTTCCCCCTTTTTCTGGAGCTAAAATTATACTTGGCACAGGAAATTTTGGGGTACATTTTTCAGATTCTGGTGAATCAAAGCAAAGTATCCAGTTCCTAGTGAGATACTACCTAGAGTTAGTTTTGTTTAGAAGCTATTCCTCCAGTTATATTTTATATGTTCTATAAAGAAAGAGTCAAGGGACTTTTCTGTGCCTCAGATGTGATGTGGTCATGAGGAGAAATAGCAAAATGTATAAACATTTGTATTTGAAATAAAGGTTTTGTGGCTTATCAGATCAATAGATCTAGAGTTCATAGATACTGCATGAAGGAGAATTTCAAGATATATGTAAACTACTTATGATCAGTTGGTAGACGAAAACTATAAGTAAAAGATAGAATGCTTTGATTGTTAATTAGAGGTCTTCTGCCAAGCAAGCTTCACTTGGAGGAGGAAAGGGATGAAAAAGAAATAGTCACCAACTACAAATACAGCTTGGTGTGCTACAGCGAGCCCTGTGCTTCTCTCAGGTGATATCCTACATAGCTCTGTGATTTTGGACAGGCCACTCTTTCTCTTGGCTTTGATTTCTCCATATTCAAATTTAAATATTTAAAAATTTGAATTTTCTCAGTGGTAGATTCCAGCCCGAGTACAAACTGCTAAATTATTATGGGATTGATTCAACATGGCTGGATCCAAAAAAACAGCAACTTATCTTTCCAGGGATCACCTCCTTCTCCATCCCCTTTTACCTTCACTGCACTGCAGGGGAGACCCCAACCAGCTCCATGTGTGTCATTGAACCTGCCCCTCAAATTCCGTCCCTTTCAAAAGTCCATAAAGTCTCAGTCTTCCTTTGTCGTAAGTCAGAGGACCTATCTCATCTCCCTCAGATCTCCTCCATGTCCTCAGAGTCAATAAAGGCCTCCCCTCTTTCTTTTATTTCTGATTCTCTGCCATGCTGGAAAGACCTAACAGTCAATTCTTATAAGATTCAATGAAGCAATATGTTTGGAACATTTTATAAACCATTAGACATTATAAATTTAAGTGGTCATTATTGTTTTTGTTGGACCTATTTATCATTTGGAAGGAACTGATCTAGACCCCATCCTCTGAGGAGCTCAGAATGCTCTTGTATCTTCTGTAACTTTTTCTAAGATCACATTTGTTGGGAAAGAAGGCCTAAGAGTGTAATGAAAGCCAAACAAAATCAGTGTAGTCTTGTATATGTGTTTTTCTTCCCAGCTTTTATCATCTATAAGAAAAGGTTCCTATGAATCTTGCAAATATGATCTGAATGCCAGTTTCCTCTTTGCATATGGAAAAGTTCATGTAATTTTGCAGTTCCCAACAGAGTGACAGTAGAGATGGGAATAAGCATTGGGAGCCTTAAGCTGCCAATTTTTATTGATCTGGGTGATCTTCTTAGTGCTTGAGAATTACACACCATCTTGCAACAGCAGGTCTGAAATTGGTTGGAAACTCTTCCACTCTCCTCTTGCTGATTAGTAGCAAAGTAAAAATTTGTTTTTCAGCCTATAAATCTCTATAGAAACATGGAGCTCAGAGAAGCTGGAGGAATGTTGGATGAGCCCATCCAGCAGGAACTCAAAGAGGAGCACAGAGGTTACATTATCCATTGTCTTCTGCTTGATTCAGACCAGATTACAAAGAAAATTCCCAAATATAGAAGTTAAATTGCAATGTGAGATTTCTATGTTATATCACTGGTAACTATTAAGTTAAAATATTTAAATCTCACCTGTTTGACACAAAGTAATGGTAAGCTCTGATTCATAAAAATATTCTTGGGATACACTTCTGCTTTAGGAAACTTCATTTTTGGTTTGCTTATCTGTAAATGACAAAGGAATATGGGATTGAAAATTAACACATTTTTACTGGCCTCGATTTGTAGCAATTCTCCTGTGTCAGCCTCCTGAGTGCTGGGATTATAGGTATTGATTTTTTATAGTTTTGTGTTTACAGGTTCCAAAATGAACAAAATAAAGTTTATCACTTTGCTAAAATCTATATATGTTCATTTAATCCATATCTTAGTGTCTTTTTACTCACACAGTTCTACTTGGGGTTGGGTTGGGGGGGCTTAAATTGAGAATAGAATTTGTTTGTTTTTTTTTCTTTCCTTGAATTTTTTTTTATTGGTACATTTTATATATACATAGTGATAGCATTCATCATAGGGGAATTGTACTTTGCTTCAAACAATAGTTTTGAGCATTTTTTCTAAAGATTTAAAATTTCTGAATTTAGTTCAACTTATAATACCACATTTCCAAGAAAAATAAACCTTTGCAAAGACATTTAAATAAAATCATACCAAGATGTGTGGGAGGCTTAATAACTCCAAGCCTGCAATCCTATTGCACGTGGGTTTCCGGGTTCCTCTTCCCTACCTCTGCTGAGCTAAGCTCCTAATTCTTCTTACCCCTCCTACTTCCCATAAGTCTCCTGCTATGCCCCAGAGGTGGAACTTTCTGTCATAGCCTGGTTGCCTAGCTAGTTACTCGCGCCTTTTACCCGCTGACGTCATTTCCCTATGCCTCCACTATATATACCCAGAGTTTCCTTTGAATAAACGAGACTTGATCAGATTCTCCTGTCTTGTCTCCATTTCTCATGTCTCCTGTCCTTTGTCCCCTCCTCAATTCCCCGCTCCTCTCCCAGGTGACCTTCGCTGATTGACCCGCTGGTTAGGGACAAAGATGCACAAAAATGAAATTGTCCAAAACTTCCTATAAAGAAAAAAATAGTTAAAGCATATACATAAAAATATTAGCTATGGAAGAACAAAATTAAATAGCATCTTAGAGAATCGAATTTGTGTATCACTTTCCCTTGTAGAATCCGTGGTTATGCTGTTGAAAATAAAATTTCACACTTATTTTGGACTTAATGATTTTTCAAAAGTTCTGTTACATTCTTGAGTTAATTCATCAAGAATACATATGCTGACATATGAGTTGTCTTAATAGATCTCTAGGGAAATCTAGATAGGATTGGTACTAATTTTATAAACATTAACAATAAGATGAGTGACTTGATGGTGGCATGGTTGTAGATGAACCAGAAATA